CAGAAAGGGAGACTGTTATCGCCCTCTTGTGGTGAGGACAACATTAACATCCACTCGTCCTTTGGGGTATGTGGATTTGCTGAGACATCCCCCCACCCACATTTACAACAGGAGATCACTTTAGAATATTCTGTGTGTGACATCAATGAACAGGTGGTGTGACAGGTCAGGAGAGAAGAGAAAAAAATAAAATGAATGTGGACCTCGCTCAAGATATCATAGAATAGTTTCAAAGGAATCACTTAAAGAAAGGGAGGTAGGTGGGCTCAACCTGGGGACAGGTAGACTGCTTACAGGGGAAAGGTGTTTTTTTTTTTTTTGTTTGGTGGAACTGGGGTTGGAACTCAGGGCTTCAAAGTTGCAAAGTATGTGCTCTACCACTTGAGCCATTGCTCTGGTTTATTTGGAGATGGGGACTCAGGAATTATTTGCCCAGGCTGGCCTTGAACCACAAGCCTCCTGATCTCAGCCTCCCAGGTGGGTAGGATTACAGGTGTGAGCCTCTGGCACCCAGGCAATGTTTAAGATTTAGGTACAGCAATGACTGGCAGGTCAATGGTGGCGGAACTGGATGCGTAAATCTTCAAGTACAGAGCACCTGGTGACAACTGTCAACTGTGAAATTCAGAGGGCCACTGAAGCAGAAGAGAAAGAGGAGCATTCAGCTCTGATTAGATTTACACAAGAATTTGTTAATGTCAAAATAATAGTTTGTTGGCATCTTTGTTTTTTCAAAGGAACAATTATTTGCCTGTTTTCTTAATCCACATAAAATATTTTAAGATTTTCCTCTTTTATTTATTCATTCATTTGTGTGGTGGGACTGGGATTTGAACTCAGGGCTTTACACTTGCAAAGCAGGTGCTCTACTGCTTGAGATACACCTCCAGTCCATCCGATTTATTACATAAGCACAAGACAGAAGCAGGGGCTCTGCTGGGTTTTATTCATCCAAGGAGACTGATGGTTTCTGTCTTATTTAACTCATGAATGTTGCTTTTAGCAAGTGAGTGACTTGGAGTTGGTGGGGGCGTGGAGAGGCCTGAGGCTAGTGACTCCAAGCTGAGGCCCATCTTGAGCCTACAAAGGGAGGGCAATGAAGTCCCTTGGTGCTTCCTGGGCAGTTGGCCTCACTTGCATGTGGCCTCCAGCTGCTCAGAACAGCAATAGAAGTGAAACCAGTTTTGAATCCCAGGCCCAAACTCCTGGAATTCCACCTGCCAGGTCCAGCCACTTGCCTTTAGATGCCAAATAGAAAGACATGGTGAAGGTAGAGAAAGAAAATTTATTACATGACTCAGGACACACCATGGGAAGAGGCAAAGTAAGCATGCAGCTTATCTTCAGCCATCTTCGGGGTACAGACATGAGGTTAGCTTTTAATAGACAAAGAATTAGGAACAGGGGACAAAGCTATGTTTAGTTAAACAGTCCCAGTCACAGGTGTGGCCTGGTTGACCATTATCTCAGTCTGAGGGTTCCAAGAAGGGTTCCAGACAAGTTATTATTGCTGTCATCACTGGATGGGAACACTCTGGGCCATCAGATGACTGCTCCTGCTCCAGGGTGCAGCCTCATCATTATAGATAATTGTTCTCATTTGGAGGGGTGGTCTGTCCTGTGAGTCTCCACTGTTCCTAACAGGAAGTTTCAGTCCCTTGTTGAAAGATGTTATTGATCATTCCTGTCCTCCCTTGATTGCAAGATGGCTGCAGGAGAGAATGACTCAGAGCAAAGGACAATGGGTACAAAATGGAGGCAGGGCTGACAAGCTTCTCCTGTTCCAGTTGTGGGGTACAGGGGGCCCACTCCAGGGGTACTTGTCTTTGCTGGGTTTAGGCATAAGCTCACGAGACATGGCTAGTGCACCCACAGGTAGATTTATAGCAAAAGAAAAGGCTGCAGCTAAAGTAGTGCAGCAGAGCCCGGAAACCGGTGGCTCCCTGCTCAGGTGAAGGCTGTGGCTTTTTATGGATGCTTTAACTCTGGGTTTAGGTTGAGGGTTAGGTGTGTTCTTTCCACTGGTTGTGGATTCGCACATGTGGGCTCTCTTCGATGAGCTGGTCTGTTTGCCCTTTATTTGGGGGGGACAAAACTTGAGAGCATCCTATCAGCCCTGGAGCAGATTTATGAGGCCATGTATCCCCTTAGGATGCAGGGCTCATAGTGCTCTCCATGGGGGATGGGACACTGACTCACTCATCTGTCCTTTAGGTTCCCAGACCCAACAAGTAAGGAGTCAGTGCTTTTTAGCAGAAGCAGTTTAAGCACCTCTTACAGAAGGAGTGGTGACAGCGAGAGGGCACAGATCCTGTGCTCCTGCTTCTCAGGACACGGTTCACAGTGTGCCTGGGACTTCCAGAATCAGTGTCCTATACAGTGGCATTGGAGCAGGAGGGCCACCCAGGCCAGGCCAGACTGGAACAGGAGGGATGGCCTGATGTTATGGTGGGGTCAGGAATTTGGGAGTAGGCTGCTGCCAGCATGGCCAAGGCTTTTTGACACTTTATCACAAATCTACTAAATGTCAGCTAGAAAAAACAAAAGCAGAGCAACAAAGGAATAAAATTATTAAATGTGTGATGAAGGACTGGAGGCGTGGCTCAAGTGGTAGAGCACCTGCTTTGTAAGTGTGAAGCCCTGAGTTCAAACCCCAGTTCCCCTCCCCCACTGAAAAAGAAAAAGCATGAGGAAACTGGAATTATATGGGAGTAATATTCTATAAAGGAACCAAAAAAGGGATAAAAGCAAAGATTTCAACTGGTTCAAATGAGTAGTGTGCTTCACCCATGGTTCAAAAGGAAAACACTCAGCAGAGGTTAAATATGATCCCAGTTTAAGAGTCAGACTGACTGCTCAGATGGAGCCCTGGTATGTCTCAGGCCCTTGGGCTCAGGCAGGAACACCTAAGGACTTAAAGTGTTGAGCTCACTATACACTCTGTCCCCTCTTCCTAAGTGGGGAAACACTCCCTCCTTCAAAGCTGCCTTCATTTCCATCAGCTGGACACTCCCACAGTTTAAGGTTTGGACCTAAAGAAACTGTCCAATGCAAGCTGGTCAAGATGGTTGTGGTGCACCCCTGTAATCCCAGCTACTCATGAGGTGGAGGCAGGAGGATCCATTTTCCAAGCCAGCTGGGGCAAAGCTAGGGAGAGACCCTGTCTCAAAAACAAAAACAAGTTGCTATTTGGGAGGCTGAGATCAGGAGTATGTAAGTTCAAAGCCAGCTGGGGCAAATAACTTTAAGAGACCCCCATCTCCAAAATAACCAGAGCAAAGTGGACTGGGATGTGGCTCAAGTGGTAGAATGCCTTCTTTGTAAGTGCAAAGACCTGAGTTCAAACCCCAGTCCCACCAAAAACAAATAAACAACAACAACAACAAAAAGGCTTATGGGCGTGGCTCAAATGGTAGAGTGCCTGACTAGTCCTTCCTGATTAGGAAGTGGGAAGCCCTGAGTTCAAAACTCAACACCACCTAAATAAATAAACAAAACATAAATGATAATTAAAAAAAAAAAGGACTAGGCCTGTGACTCAATCCCCAGCACCACAAAATAAATAAAATTAAAAAAATAAAATAAAAACTGTCAAATGTAGGGCTGGTGGAATGGCTGAAGTGGTAGAGCATCTGCCCAGCAAATGTGAGGCCCTGAGTTCAAACCTTAGTGCCCGCCAAGGAAAAAGAAAAAAAAAGCAAAAACAGACAAAAAACTGTCAAATGTATAAACACTTTCTCTAGGAGTCTGCCTAAATGAGTGTTTCACAGATTTTTGTGATATACAAATGACAGTCTGACTGTTAGACATACAAATGATAGTTTTGACTCCAGCAAGTCCTTGCATGTCAAAACCAAAACACCGTCCAGAAAATGGCCCCATGGCAACCAGAGTCACAACCTCACCAATGACAGGCACCCCAAATACATGCGCACTGGCTCTCTTGCTTCCTGGTACTCCCAGTTTCTGTCACCACTCCCTCTGCAGCTGTGACAGCCGCCCAGGAAGCACCAAGGGGAACTTCATGGTCCTCCATTTGGGCCTCAGTTTGAAGTCACTGGCCTCCAGCTCTGTGCCCAACTCCAAGACAATTATCAGCCTCACAGCAACATTGATGAGTTAATTGAGCTTTCAGTCTCACTGTTTGAATGACAGCCAGCAGAATCCTTGCTTCCTCATTGTACTTAGGTGTAAACAAAGAAAATTCTAAGATAGTTTTTGGGGATTAAAAAAATTGACAAATAGAGCCAGGTGTGTGGTGCATCCCAGCACTCGGGAGACTGAGGCAGGAAGAGAATAGTTCTAGGCAGGCATGGGTTTCATAGCAAAACCCTGTCTTAAAACATCAGCTGGACACTGGCAGTTCAAGTCTGTAATCCTAGCTACTCAGGAGGCTGACACCAGGAGGATTAAGGTTCAAAGCCAGCCAGGGGGCAAACAGTTCAGGAGACCCTATCTTGAAAATACCCAACACAATACAAGCCTGGCAGAGGGGCTCAAGTGGTAGAGCACCTGCCTAGCTTGCCTGAGGCCCTGAGTTCAAACCCCAGTATCATCACAAGAAAAACATGTAAACTCTCTCCTTTTTCCTCTGCTTCGGTGGCTCCCGGCTCTTCACAGTCCCTGACCACAGCTGATGGTTGTCACCAAGTGCTCTATACCTGGATATTTACATGTGCAGTTTACTCATTGGAAAAAGCAGGAAAGACCCATCTCTGGAAGTACAGTAAGTTCTCCTGAAATGCAAATACCCTCCTACCCAGCCTCCCCAAAGCGTGGCGCGGTGCAGGGGCGGAGAGCAAGCCCAGCCTCCGAAAGCCTGTGCCCCAGAACCTGTCATTCAGGACGCAGTCAGTCCCGTTCCAGCTTCATCTGTCGTTCAAGATTCAGGAGGCGGAGCCTGAGCTGTGTCCAATCAGAGGCTCAGGGGTGGGGCCATGCCAACCCCCATCTTCCTTCAGCAGTATCGCGAGATCTTAGTTTATCGCCCCGTGTGTGCATTTGGCTTCTTGCTGCTTGCTGTGGGAAGGGTCACTCCGCTGCTGGGGGCAGTGGCGTGCAGCGTCCCGCGAACCATATCGAGGACCTGGCACATCCTGGAAGCCCGGAAATGGTGAGTTGAGGCTGGGCGTCCCGAAGCGAGGGCGAAGGGGCTGTCGGAAGCGGCCGTGGCGGGAACCTGGGCGTCCCCGCGTGAGCCCTGGAGTCCGTCGGCGCCGCTCCGTCCCGGTCCCCTGCGGTCCGCGGGGTGTGGCTGGGCCGGCTGCCGGGCGTCCTGTCCCGGGCCTGCACGGCCACCCGGCCCTGCCCGGAGCCCCGTGTCTCCCCAGACCGTGCGGGGACGGCGGGGTCGCGGGAGATGCCGCCCCGGGGGAGGGAGGAGTTGGGGGCCGAGGGGTCCCCCATCCCTCCCCTCTTTGCTCCCCAGAAGGGACCCTTTTCCCTCACGTCTAACGAATGAGAAGCAGGGGCTCAGGTCCCTATCCCTGCTCACCAGTGCCTAGCTCTTCCTGTAGCTGCAGTAAATCCTTAGATTCTACATCCCTCTTCCCATCCCGAAGTGGCAGCTCCCCTCTCCAGTTCACCACAGCATTATCAACTGTTTGTCCTTCACCCTACATTTCAAGCAGACGTCGGATTGTAATTGCTTATCATTGTGCACAAGTCAGTGGGTGGCACTCTTTAAATGATTTGCTTTCTGTTTGGGACATTTCCACCCGAGAGGAAAGCCGAGAATAACGGCCCGATATTCCACTATGAGAAATCCTTGTGCCTCTCCTCCTCCTATCCTCCCTGGCTGATGCGTCCTTAGCCTGCCTCCTGTCGTTTCCTGGCCCTGGGTTTCACAAGCCTGTGGGGCTGACCCAAAACGTCCACTGCTACCAAGTCTCTTGGAAATGTCTAGTGAGTGTCAGCCACCGGGTAATCGCCCAGAAGTCATCCTGAAGGAGGTGTGGGTGCTTTCAGGGGAGCAGGTGCATGGGCTGGGGCTGGGAGGAGCTCCTTGGTTTACCCTCATCTGAATAGCTAGCTCTGCCCCCAAGTGGTGACTCGTGTGTAATCCTAGCACTCAGTAGGTGACAAACTCAGGGAGGGGCATGGGTGACCTGGAACACAGACTTGTCTAACTCAAGCTTCAAGTCAAGGACATTCCCCCACCTGACCTTGCTGTTTGTGTACCCACAGTGCACTGCGTTTTTCAGGCTTTTGCACCTCAGTGGGGTGGGCTTTTCTTGTCTTTTGGGATAATGCTCTCCCTTTCATGGTCTCTTGGGAGGGTGGAACCTTAAGTCCCATCCCCTAGACTCTGGAAAGGAAGGGAGGCTAAAGATTGATCCTGTCAAAACCTCTTGAACAGAGACCTTCCAAGAGCTTCCGGCTTGGTAAACACATTGAAGTGCCAGGAGGGTGTTTCACTTCCGGAAGAGGAGTTTGGCTTCCCTGTGCCCCCACTGCCCCTTTCCTTGCCCTATACATTTCCACATAGCTGTTCCTGGTTTGTACCCTTCATAATAAACTGTTAATGTAAGTAAGTTTTGCCGCGTTCTGAGTAACTTTGACCAAGTATTGAACTTGAGGAGGAAGTTACGGGAGCCCCTGACTTGTAGGCAGTTGGAAGCATGGATTGGGTGGGGTGTGGTGACTCATATCTGTAATACCAGCTACTCTGGAGATGGAAATTAGATTGGGAGGATCACTGTTTGAGACCAGCCCAGGTAAAAAGTTATCCAGATTTCATGTCAACAAATAAGCAACATGGTGGTGGCACATCTGTACTCCTAGCCAAGCTGGATGTAGGAGGATCAAGGCCCAGGCCCACCTGTGCAAAAATGTAAGACTCTATCAGAAAAATAACTAAAGCAAACAATACTGGAGAGTGTCTCACGTGGTAGAGTGCCTGCCTAATATGCGTGAGGCCCTGAGTTCAAACCCCAGTACAGCTTAAAAATAAATAAATAAATAAATAGAAGTGTGGAATTCCTCCTGGGCCTTGTAACTGTCATCTAAAATGGGGGTGGTATGGTAGGACCCATATCTTAAGTTGTGGGGTCTGTGCTATTTTTCGAGACATCAGAATTGAATTTATGGATGCATGGTTGGTGTTCTGGTGAATCTATGGAATCTGTCACTTCAGATTCAAGGTCATTTGTAGGACACCCCAACTGTCTCCTGGAGAATGGCTTGGTATCTGGGGAACAAAATCCCGTGTCCACATGTATGGTGTCAAAAGTATTGTTGAGCACTCAAGTGGTAAAACACTTGCCTAACAGGCACTAACGCCCTTAATTCAATCCCCAGCACCACCAAAAAAAAAAATTTTTTTTTTGAGTGACTGTAAGAGAGTAGGGAAGCATAACTTTGTTTTTAAATTCTGAGTTGATGTTCAGCAAACACTACATATTTGGTATTAAAAAAAAAAAATCACAGGTCAGAACCCTAAATTGACTCAGATGAGTGAGTGGTTTCTGGAGAGAATGAGTTTCCTTGGTTCACTGCCTGGGAGTGTGCCTTCCTTAGCTGCATCTGTACCCAGAGGGGGTTCCCTAAGCTTTGCAATTGCTAAGCCTTCTGAGTGGGGTTCCCTTGTGAGCTGTAGGAAGCCAGCTGCTCACCTGTGCTGTTTCCCTTCCCTTCCACCCCTCCCCCCACTTTGGTGCTACAAGGTTTGAGCTCAGGACTTTGCATTTGATAGGCAGGCGCTATACCACTTGAGCCACACTTCCAGCCCCCTTTTTTTTTTTTTAAAGACAGGGTCTTGCTATGTAGCTCCAACTGGCCTGGAATTTATGATGACCTTGCCTCCACCTCCTGAATGCTGTGATTGCAGGCATGTACTACTTTACCAGGTGCTGGTAGAACACCTTTTTTTCATTTGCACAATCTTGCTGCTCTTGAATTACACTTTTTCCGTGCCTTTAAGATTTTTTTTTTTTGGTGGGGGCTTGAACAAGATAGTTTAGTTTTCTTCTTTTATATGAAATAAAAGAACCCCAGGGGAAGTAAACCTAGACAGGTATGGTTAAGAGCATACATCCCTTCTATTGTTCTATATTCTCTCTCTCCTTTTTTTTTTTTAACATTTTTATTAGCATATTTTAATTGTACAGAGTTTCATTGTGACTTTTACATATGTGTTTATAATGTATCTTGATTAGATTACCCTCCCCCCCTTAAAATAACTTCAGCAGGTTTCATTGTTCTGTTTTCGTACATGTATACAAAGTATATTCATACTTACCCTACTTCACCCTCTCCATTGACCCAATCCCTGCTCACTGGTACCCACCCTGCCTTTAAGAATTTTATTCCATGGTGTGACTGTAAGATTTTTATTTTCTTGGTTAGAACCTAAGTGGATTGAGTAGTGAGGTCTAAAGAAACAAATAATTATTATTATTTTTTTTTTTGGTGATTCTGGGGTTTGAACTCAGGACCTCATGCTTGCTAGGCAGGCCCTCTACCACTTGAGTCACTCTGTCAGCCCTTGTTTTGTGTTGGGTACTGTGTGTGTGTGTGTTTGTGTGTGTGTGTGTGTGTGTGTGTGTATGTGTGTGTGTGGTACTGCAGTTTGAACTCAGGCCCTATACCTTGAGCCACTCCACCAGCTCTTTTTTGTCACTTTCCTTTTTTTTTTGGCAGTACTAGGGTTTGAACTCAGGGCTTCATACTTGCTAGTCAGGTGCTCAACCACTGAGCCACTCTACAAGCCCTCCACCAGCTCTTTTTTGTGATGGTTTTTTTTTTTCTTGAGATAGGGTCTTTTGAACTATTAGCCCAGGCTGGCTTTGAACTGGAAACCTCCTGATCTCTGCCTCTTTTTTTTTTTTTTTTGGTGATACTGGAGTTTGAACTCAGGGCCTGACGCTTGCTAGATGGGCACTCTATACTTGAGCCACTCTACCAGCTTAATCTCTGTCTCCTGAGTAGCTAGGATTATAGACCTGACCCACTGGCATCTGGCTAAGAATTCTTGAAATAAATTTTTTCTTCTCTGTTAAGTTGATGTAATAAGAATGCAAACACCCATGCATTTACCACCCAGGTGAATAAATAGACCATGGTCAGTTCTGCTGTGACTCCCTCATGTCATTTTTCTCTGCACCTAAAGGTGATCACAGGCCTGATTCTTTTGTTAGTTTTTAAAGCTTACCATCTGTTTATCATGAAGTGAATTTTTTCTAGTTACATTGTAGGAATTTATTTTAATTAATCTATAGTTGATTAGGAGGGAATTCTTGATTAAAAAGAAAAAAAAAACAACTCAGAAGATTCTTGAGTGGTGGTGGATGCTTATAATTCTAGCTACTTGGGAGATGGAGATTGGGAGGATCACAGTGATGCCAGCCCAGGCAAAAAGTTAGTGAGATCCCATTTCAGCTAATAAGTTATTAGCTGGCATGGAGGTGTGTTCCTGTCATCCCAGCTATGAGGCATAAATAGAAGGATTGAGGTTCAGGTAAGCCCAGACAAAACTACAAGACCCACTGAAAAATAAGTAAAGCAAAAAGGGCTAGGGGCGTGGCTTATGTGCTACAACACCTGCTTAGCAAGCATGAGGCCCTGAGTTCAAACTCCAGTACCACCAAGAGAAAAAAAGTAGAAGAGACTTGAAGAAGGGTATGGAAAATGGATTGTGCACGCACACTAAATCAACAATACACCTAAAACTATGAAGGATTTTGCCTCTTCGGTAAGTTCATATTACCATGAACGACCATTAGTACCTCAAACACTAATGCATCATTAATTTTTTACAGGATGAGAAAAGTTTCTGGCTTAAATTCAAATTTACTAGGAAATATTGATGAAGTGCATGGATTAATTGTGTGACCTATCGTGCAATGTGCATTTGCCAATCCTTGGAATTATCTACTTTATTCTTTTCCTTCTAGTGTTCCCCAGAATCTCCGAATGATCAGATATTACTTTCTATGGCCATGTGCTACACAATGACATTTCAGTCAGCGATGGAGCCCGTGTAGGTTGAGGCTGCCTTCTCATGCTTACCACATCTCTTGATTATTCTCTTGCACCTGATTTAATCCCAGGTGCTTTTGTTCACCATGGCCCCTACTTGTGCAAAATCCACTGCCAAGGTTGCTGGTAAGAGGTCACGTCGAGTGATTGACCTGGAAACGAAGTTAAAGTTGATCAAAGACTATGAGGGTGGAAAGTCAGTAATGGTGATTGCTCGCCAGTCAGGCATGTCCCATTCCACCATCGCTACGATCTTGAAGAACAAGAACAAAGTGACAGAAGCACTGAAAGGCTCCGCGTCATTGAAGGCCACAAGACTCACCAAAATTCGAGAAGGGCCTATATCAGATATGGAGAAACTCCTGATAACCTGGATTGAAGAGCAGACTCGGGAGCGGGTCCCGCTCACCACCATGATGATCACGGCCAAAGCAAAGAGCTTGTTTGCAATGTTGAAGGAAAAGGCTGGACCCAACTACAATGTTGAATTCGCCGCCAGCTCAGGGTGGTTCAAGAGATTCAAGAATCGCTACTCGTTACATAATGTGAAAGTGAGCGCCACTGTCACCAAGGAGTGTATAAGTGGTATCTGGAAGAAGACTCTCAGGAGGTTCGTTCATGGCTTCAAAGGATTCACTGAGGAGGAAGAGCTTGCAAAAATGAACCAGGCTGTGGTTGAGATGGCTGACAACTTTACGCTGGGCATGGATGAGGATGATGTTGAGCTCTTGGAGGTGGTCCCCGAGGAACTGGGTAAGGGGTTGTCATTGGAACAGAAGTGCATGGCTGAAGAGGCAAGGGGAAAGGAAACCGTAGGAGGAGAGAAGGCAGAACTCCCAAGGAAATTTACAGTGACAGGGTTGGCAGAAGCTTTTGCAGACCTGAACAAGCTCCTTAAAAAGTTTGAAAGGATGGACCCCAATCCAGAAAGGTTTTCATTAATAGAGAGGAACGTTCGTGGTGCATTATCTACTTACAGGCAAATCTATGACACAAAAAGGAAGCAAGTCACCAGGGGCAGATTTGTGAACAGAGTGACATCTCCTTACGAAGAGCCCCAGGCGGGTCCCTCAGGAGGCACTCCAAAAGGAGACATTGTTGTCATAGGAGATGATGGGACAATGAGCATCATCTCCCCTGAAGATCTGCCTGTGGGACCAGATGGAGTGGTAGAAGACAGCGATCCTGACACTGTGTAGGCCTGACCTCATGTCTGTGCTGTTGTCATAGACTTTAACGAAAAAAGCTTTAAGAAGTTAAAAAAAAAAAGATAGAAAATATTTTTATGTAACTGTGAATTGTGCTTATGAAATTATGAAAGTCAAAATGTCAAAAAAATTAAAAGTTGAGAAAATGAAAAAGGTACAGTAAGCCATGACTAATTTATTACTGAAGAATGAAAACCATTTTTTAATAAACTTGTATAAGGGGCTGGGGATGTAGCTTAGTGGTAGTAGTGTTTGCCTGAAACACCCACAAGGCCCTGGCTTCTATCCTTAGCACCATATAACAAAGAAAGGAAAAAAAAAAAGTATAGTCCAAGTGTGTAGTGTTAATTAGGTCTATGGCAGGGAACAGGAATGCCTGAGCTCTTCACATTCACTGACCTCACTTACTGACCCACCCGAGCAGCTTCCAGTCAGTACTCGCTCATTCATGGTAAGTGTCCTATCACATGTACCATTTTGTACCTTTTACATGGTACTTTTACTGTGCCTAAATATGCTTAGAAGCAGGATGGGATAGCTCAAGCCTGAAGTCCTAGCTACTTGGGAAGTGGAGATTTGAGGTCAGCCTGGGCAAAAATGTTCTTGAGACCCCATCTCAGCCAATGGCTGGGAGCAGTGGTGTGCCTCAGTCATCCCAACTACACAGGAAAACACAAATAGAATCTAGGTCCAGAGCTGGAGGAGTGACTCAAGCAGTAAGAGCACCGACCTAGCAAGCATGAAATCCTGAGTTCAAGCCCCAGTGCCATCAAAAATACAAAAAAAAAAAAAAAATAGAATTGAGGTCCAGGCTGGCCTGGGCATAAAGTGAGAACTTATCTCAAAAATAACCAGACCAAACCAGGCACCAGTGACTCATTCATGCCTGTAATCCTAGCTACTCAGTAGGCAGAAATCTGGAGTATCAAGGTTTGAGGCCAGCCCAGGCAAATAGTTACAGAAACCCTTTCTTGAAAATACCCAACCCCAAAAAGGGCTGGCAGAGTGGCTCAAGTGGTAGAGTGCCTGTCTAGCAAGTGTGAAGCCCTGAGTGCAAACCTCAGGACCACCAAAAAAAAAAAATACTCAACACAAAAAAGGACTGGTAGAGTGGCTCAAGTGGTAGAGTGCCTGCTTTGCAAGGGAGAGGACCTGAGTTCAACCTCCAGTACTGCCAAAAAAAAAAATCTCAAAATAAGTATGTTCAGATACATGCATACTTAACATTGTATTACAGTTGCCTACAGTATCCAGTACAGTAACACGCTGTCTAGGTTTGAAGCCTAGGAACAATAGGCTGTACCACATGGTCTGGGTGTTGTAAACTGTTCCCTGTGGGTTTGTATAAGAACCCCCTGGTGTTCACACAACGATGAAATCACCTAATCTCAACATGTGTCCTCTTCATTAAGTGACACATGACTGCACTGGTCACCGCTGGTGTTGAGTATTTTCCTTCGTGTCTTTAAACTTCTGTAAAGCCCAACATGGTGGTGCACCACTGTAATCCCAGTACTTGGGAGGCTGAGGCAAGAGGATACTAAGTATGATGCTAGTCTGGGCTACACAGTGAGCTCTCCCCATGAGCAAGAGCCTGTGTCAAAAAACTAAACAAGGAGCCAGGCACCAGTGGCTCACACCTGTAATCCTAGGTACTCAGGAGGCAGAGATTAGGAGGATCACAGTTTGGGGCCAGCCCAAGCAAATAGTTCGTGAGACCCCATCTTGAAAAAACTCACTACAAAAAAGGACTGGGGGAGTGGCTCAAGGTGTAGGCCTTGGGGTCAAACCCCAGTACCACAAACAAAAATTCCCAAAAAACCTAAACAAGGGCTGGAGGAGTGGCTTAAGTGGTAGAGCACCTGCCTAGCAAGTTTGAGGCCCCGAGTTCAAACCTCAGAACCACAAAAATACAAAACAAACAAACCCAAAACAGGCACACAAAAAAAACGAAGCCTGTAAAATAGTTTTCAGTCCTTTTCTTATGATTAATTCATTTGTATGATTTTAAAAAATTTTTTTAAATACTCTGCACACTAATCCTAAATTCATTTGTATGGCTTTTTGGAAGAGTTAGCATCAGTGTCAATTCTTCTTTACATGACTGTCATGTTTCATGAGTGAGACTGTTTGGTCCTGAACCTTCATTTGTTAGGGAGTTACTGCCTCAATTTTCATATTAGGTTTGCTTATACTTTGTATTTTTTCATGACTCAGTCTTGGTAGACATTCCTAGATGTCACCAATGTTACCACATTTGTTGGTGTACCCTAGAGACTTCCTTTACGTTGTTGCTTTTTTTTTTTTTTTTTTTTTTAACCATGCTTGCGATTGAACCGAGTGTCTTGCACATGCTAGATGCTAGGCAAATGCTCTACTACCGAGCCACACCCCTGGGTCCTTTTTTGTTTGTTTGTTTGCTGTTTGTTTTTTGACACAGAGTCTCGCTCTGGGGGCTAGTCTGGGAATGTGATGCGTTTCTCCACTTGGATACCAGTTTGTTTCTGCCTCATGTTAAAGTGTGAATGATGTATTCTATTCTGCAGTGCTATAACGTACTGCATGTGTGTGGGCCAGGGGAAGGCTTTTTCCTTCCTTGCTGTATTTGTTTCTTAGTTGTCTGGTGTGCTGAAGATTATGGTTTTAAAATCCTTTGTGTATGCCTTCATCTCCTTCCTCAGAAAACTGTAAACATTGTTAGACCTTTGTTACTCCTATTAGATTTTTTTTTGGCGGGGGGATGTGGTACTGTGGTTTGAACTCAGGGCCTTACACTTGCTAGGCAGGTGCTCTACCACTTGAGCCCTCTACCAGCCCAGATTTTTTTTTTTGGGCAGTATTGGGATTTGAACTCAGGTCCTTGAATTTGGCTAGGCAGGTGCTCTACCACTTGATTCACACTATGGCTGCATGTGGCTCTGTGGGAGAGCACTAACCTAGCATGCTTCTTCCATCCCCAGCACTGCAAAGAGTAAGTGAAAAAATTTCTAAAATTCCAATACTGATGGGTGCCAGTAGCTCACTCCTGTAATCCTAGCTACTCAGTAGGCAGAGATTAGCCCAGGCAAATAGTTCAAAAGACCCTATCTTGAAAATACCCAACACAGAAAAGGGCTGGGCCTCAAGTGGTAGAGGCCCCGCCTACCAAGCATGAGGCCCTGAGTTCAAGCCTCAGTACTGCCCCCTCCCCCCAAAAATCCAATACCCATTAATAAATACTTAATAAATCCTTGTGCATGTCCTTCTCATTTTTTACAGAAGTCACCTGACCAAGACTGAAGGTAGAAGAAGGTAGTCAATGTGGAAACTCTTCCATTCTGGACTATAATCTGAACAAGAAAACAACTCCTAAAACAAAGCTGTGTGAGAACCATGTGTTTGGAGAGCCCTTCATTGGTCACTCGTCCCTACATAGGCATAACAAGAGCTCATGCCTGTCACAACCACGTGACTGTCAGGAGTTGTATAAATGTCAGGAACATGCGAAAGCCTTTACTCATCTCCAAGGCTTTCAAGTACACAAAAGGACTCACACTGGAGAGGAACTGTGATTGTAGGGACATGGCAAATGTCTTATTTCCCTCAAAATTTTTGGAAGATGCCTTATATATACAGTGGACCTTATAAATGTAAGACGTGTGTGGGAAAGCTTTGATTATTCCAGCTTTCTTCACAGGCATGAAAGAACTCACCCTGGAGAGAAGCTTGAGATTGTAAGGTGGGTCACACCTATAATCCTAGCTACTTGGAAGGCTGACATTGGGAGGATCGTGGTTTGAGGCCAGCCCAGGCAAATAGTTTGAGACCCCATCTTCAAAATAACCAGAGCAAAATGGACTGGAGGTGTGGCTCAAGCAGTAGAGTACCTGCTTTGCAAGTGCGAAGTCCTGAGTTCAAATTCCAGTCCTATAAAAAAGAAAGAGTAGGAGAAAGCCTTCCAGTTAGCACAAACCTTTGAAAATATGAAGGGACTCACATCAGAGAGAAAACCCTTAATAAGGCAGGACAGCTTTCATTATCACATGAGAATGCAGAAAGGAGAGTTGCTCTAGAAATGGAAAACCTATGGGAAAGCTGTTTGTTGTCATGGTTCAATTCAGTCCTAAGAGAAGGCACAGTGGAGAGAAACCTCCTGAAGTGTGAAGGTCTTTAGTTGGCTCACATGTAAGAATGCACATTGGAGGTGATTGTGGTTGTGCATGTCTTCAATCCCAGCTACTCAGGCTGAGGCAGAAAGATCATGAGTTTAAGGCTAGCCTAAACTCAGCTACTCAGTGAGGCTGAGGCAGGAGGATCACTTGAGCTCTCTCCAGAGAGGCCAGTCTGGGGCAAAACCCTGTCGTCTTTTTTTTTTTTTTTTTTTTTTTTAAAGAATGATGGGTGGAAGCATGGCTCAAGCCATGGAGTACTTGAGGCCCAGTATGGCAAAAAATAAAGAAAAATGCACACTGGGGACTGGGGATGTAGCTCAGTTGTAGAGTGCATTCTTAGCATGTGGAAGGTTCTTTGGTCTATCACAATACCTCCCTAAGGGACCACTGGACCATGAGCTTTTGTTAATTGTTGGTATTTCTTACTGGTACCGCATGACTATAGTAGGTAACCTTACACTTAGGATCTAAGTTCCCGACTTCAGGTTTGCCCTGCCCCCTGCCTTTTTTTTTTTTTTTTTAATGTATTGCTGGGGTTTGAACTCAGGGCCTTCTACACTTTGAGCCACTCCACCAGCCCTTTTTTTTTGTGGTGGATTTTTTTTCGAGATAGGGTCTCACAAACTATTTGCCCAGGCTGGCTTCGAACCTCAATCTGCCTGATCTCTGCCTCCTGAATAGGTAGGATTACAGGTGTGAGCCACAGGCACCTGGCTAGTTATCTACTTTTCAATGGTATGAAAGCCACAGTGCTCTGCACGTGATCTTTCCCCAGCCTACTGTTAGGTGGTCCATTACCCTATCATGCTGGGCAGTGAGAGTGGAAGGCAGCTCCAGCAGCTGAAGCTTGACGGTGTGCTGGGCACATCTAAGCTAGGCAAGGCTGAACAGTGGATGCATGTGCATACTAAGTGCACTTACAACTTAAGATGTTTTCAATTTATGATGGGTAGGGGCCTTACCCCATTGTAAGTTGGGGAGCATCTATATATATATATATATATATTCTACCTTCATTTTTTTTGGCAGCACTGGGGTTTGAACTCAGGGCCTCACACTTGCGAGGCAGGGGCTCTACCACTTGAGTCAGTCCTCCCTAGGTTTTTTTCGAAAACTGCACATGCAAGATCAATGTGCAGTCTGGATTTTTCTGCAAGCCCTCAGAGGCATACTTGACTTGAGGTGGCATGGTGGGGCACCTTCCCTGATGATCTGACTCCCTTCTTTCTTTTGTCCTCTTAAAAGGTCTAACTTGTGTAGTAAGCACCTGTGTTAAGGGTGGTGGTGTCTGTCTCTGATCAAGCGTGACAGCTACAATGATGCCAGCCAAAACAACTAGATGAGAACTTAATCCTCTGCTAGTGACTGCTGGCACCACCCTTTCTTGGGGGAATATGCACTGTCTCCCTGTCAGGATAATTGACAACATTTCTATTTTCTTTCTTTCTTTTTTTGCTGGCACTGGGACTTGAACTCAGGGCCTCATGCTTGCTAGGCAGGCACTTTTACCCACTTGCCAGCCCTATTTTTTTCTTAGCCATACTGGGATTTGAATTCAGGGCCTTGCACTTGCTAGACAGGTGCTCTACCACTTGAGCCACTCCACCAACTCCCACGGGTGTTTCTGTTGCAGCTGAATTTAATGTCTGTTTCAGTTTTGGCTCTATTAGGTTTCAGTGCATGTGATTGAAAACAGTATCTGTTTTTCTCAAACAAAATTTCTTTAAAATTGTTTTTTATTTATTGTTTTGCTTTTTTTGAGAGAGGATGAGCCTGGGTTATGTAGCCCAGGCTGGCCTTGAACTTAAGATCCTCCTGCCTCTGCCTCCTAAGTGCTGGGATTACAGACTGTGCCACCACATCAGCTAAGATGTTGTCTTTTGTTTTCTTGCAGAGCTGGCATTATTAACTGTTTTTAAACAACTTGAATACTAACATGTTATTGTCTTGTTCATTAACTTAACAGATATGTTAAAATACCTCATTGCAATCATGGATTGGATCTAAGTTTATAATTTTTGGGGGAGAGGTTACTGGGGTTTGATGCCTTGTGCTTGCTAAGCAGACATTCTACCACTTGATACACTCTGCCAGTCCCCAAGTTTTTAATTCTACCATGGTATTTGTTTGGCATTGTGAGTCAGTAGTAGCCTGTGTCAGGCACTTTTTCTCACAGAAATTTCACTTCTCATTCTTAAGGTATTACAATGTGTATCTTTTTTCTTCTTCTTCTTTTTTTTTTTTTTTGTGGTACTGGGGCTACAACTCAGGGCCTTCACCCTGAGCCACTCCACCAGCCCTATTTTTTGTGAAGGATTTTTTGAGATAGGGTCTTGTGAACTATTAACCCGGGCTGGCTTTGAACTTCGATCTTTCTGATCTCTGCCTCCTGAGTAGCTAGGATTATAGCGTGAGCCACTGGCACCTGGCAATCAAAGGTTTTATTTTTATTTTTTTGGTGCTAGAAATTTAATTCAAATACATTAAATTTTACCTGTTGCCTAAAAGAACTTCACAGTGTTATTTCTGTTTTTCATAAGCAAATCATCTGACAAGCAGAATCAGTCTCTTACTTTACACAATAAATTTGAAGTATCCTTTGGGTTTTGTTTTGGGAATCCAATACATTCTCCAAAGAACCTTTAGCCAATGCACCACTATCCTCTCTTCCTGCTTCCTGCCTTTCCTGTTGTTGCAGCTGCTCTTCCTCCTGTCTGTCCTTTTTTTCAAGTTTTTTCCAAACTTTAGCTTCTTCATATCTCAGTTTAAGGCTTTCAGAGAGTCTTTCAGCTTCTGTGGCTTTTTTGATGTTTGTAGATTCAAGCAATGAATGAAAGTAGTCCTGCTGTTGCTTGAAATCAGGTCTCTTTTTGATTAGATTATAAAGTCATAAATTTCATATATAGCACATAGGCCCTTTCTTCATCACGATCTACTCTGCATTCTTTTGCTGCCTTAAAGATCTTCAGAGCACAGTGTATGTAACTCTTGGTGCTTATTTTCTGTGGCTTAATTTCTGTCTTCTTTTTTAGGTCTTTCAGTGAAGAACTGAGGTAGAATTCTTTAGGAACGGAGGCCACAGCAGGCATGATGAACAATTCTTTACTTTTCCACTTTCACGATGGATGGGGTACTTCCTGTCCATGGAGCTGGGCACATGTCACTAAGGCTGGCCTCCATACCCAAGGCCCATCTCCCCTCGACCTAGCGAGGATCAGCCTTAGCTACCTCAACGGAAGCCAGCCCCTCTTCCCGGTTTTTTCTCAGGTTTTAAAAGCACCTGAAGAGCAGGAACATGCTCTCTCGGCTTCCAGCTTCTACCTGGGCCCCGTCATGCTTCCCTTTGTATTTCCCTTCCCTAACTTTTAATAAATTGCATTTATACCCACGTGTCCTGCCATGGATTCTTCCACACAGGACAAAGAATTTGGAAGTCTTCTGATCACAGACTACACCAGCACCATTAACAGCTGGCTGTGGTGGCATGCACCTGTCCTCCCAGCTATGTGGGAAGCACAAATAGGAGGATTCAGGTGCATGCAGGTTGAGGCATAAAAACAAAAACAGCTACGGGTGTGGCAACTGCCTAGCAAGCATGAGGCCCAGGTTCCAACTCCAGTACTGCCAAATGAACACATAGTCAGAAAAGCACTGAAAAAAGCCAGGCTGGGTGGCACATTGTGGTCCCAGCTACTCTGGAAGCTCATTTAAACCCAGGAGTTTAAGGCCAGCCTGTGCAACATAGGAAGACCCTGTCTCAAAAAAAGTCCAGAAAACGAAAAACAAAAAGACATGCTGCAAGATTTGAATAATTATGCAGATTGTGCACATGGGCATCAAATATACAATCACAATACCTAATATATTGAAAATAAAATTAAGGCCAGAGGTGTGCCTCAAGTGGTAGAATGCTTGCCTAGCAAGCACAAGGCCCTGAGTTCAAAATCCAGTACTGCAAAACCAACCAAACAAGCCAGTCATTATTATTGTTATGGTTAAGATTATCATTATTTTTGGGGACTGGGTTGAACTCAGGGCTTCACACTTGCAAAGCAGGCACACATTGCTTGAGCCACACCTCCAGTCCATTTTTCTCTGGTCATTTTGGAGATGGGGTCTTGAGAACTATTTGCCAGGGCTGCCTTTGAACCTTGATCCTCCAGCTCTCAGCCTCCCAAGAAGCCAGGATTACAGGTGTGAGCCACCAGCACCCGGTTCATTTACCCAATAATGGTGTCACAAAGTATCACCCTGCCTTGTTCTAGGTGTAGGACTTCCTCATTCACCCCACTGATCAAAAACTACACCTCCAGTCTCTGGCACATTACACCCTGAGATACTCATCTGAGCATGAGCTGGTCAAGCCCTCTCCCCACCAACCTGGGAGCAGGCCTCATTTTTACTGCCCCAGGGCCTGCTGGGAGCCTGCCACACAGGTTGGGACCTACTGTAATGGTGTTCATTTGAGCCACTTCTTTGCTCTCTCTCCCCTCCAACCCCCCTGAAGAGAAGCCTTTTCTATTTTTCTTTTTAAAATTTATTTTCTCCTCCTCCTCCTCCTTTTCCTCCTCTCCCCTTCTTCCCTTCCCCTCCTTGCTTTCTTCTTCTTCCTACACATTGTGATGTACTCACCAGAGGAGAGGAAAGAAGACACATCCCACTGATGCACAGATAACATGCACAGGAATTTCAGGTGCTCAGGATTCTTGAGCCTGCTCTGAGAATGAAAGCACAGGTGGATTCCAGCAGCAGAGGTTGGAAAGATTTTATTTGTAGAGAAGAGAAGAGAAAGACTGCATGTTGGGGAATGCAGGGGGACCCAGAAACCAGTGGTTCCCTGGGTCAGGTTGGAGATTGGGTCTTTATAGTAGCCCTTTTTTATATTGCCCCAGGGTGGAGATGTCTCTCAGGTGCAGACAGTTTCCTGGGAAGGAGAAGTGTCTCCTTGACCACTTACCATCTTTTGGGACCTCCTGCAGTCCATCCTTCAATTCCCTCCTCTCAGTGACTGCCCTAACTGCTGTTAGGGATAGGGACCATGAAGTCTGTTCAGTAACTGCTTCCTGTTGACCGGGGGCGATGAAGGGGCCCACAGCATCAGCGCAGACCATGAGAGAGGAGTTAGAGGGGAACTCGATAGTAGGTCGTTTTCATCTCCATCAGAGGCATTTGTAGTTTGATGGATTCTAGGGGAGAAGAAATAAACTTGACAAGTAAGTTTAAAATGTAAGGCCCAAACACAAGAAAGAGAATAATAGCAACTATAGGCCCCAGAAAGGGTAGGAATGAAGTCCTGGAGGGAAGCCAGGATTTTATTTGGTCCCATAGCTGTGTAGGAACCTGAGTTTCAAGAGATTGCTCCCGGAGCCACTTAACCTGTTGGAGAATGTAGTCTGCACGTTCCTGTACAATGCCTGAAGTGTTTATACATGTGCAACAGGAGGTATTGGTGATGGCGATGGCACATACCCCCTCCCCCACCTTGTTTGGCCAAAAGAAAATCTAGGGCCAGTTGGTGGTCCATGACCATACAGGCAAGGGATGACAAGGCCCTTTGTATGTCCTTAATGGCAAGGCCTACCTGGTCTGAGGTGTCCTTTGCTACTTTGGTTAGGTTTTCTTGAAGTTACGTGATTGGCAATCACCCCATATCTGATTCCAGCAAGGGCTGCAATTAATGCTGTTATCCCTAAAACTATTAGAGTAACTTCCCTTTTATCTCCACGAGACGCTGCTCATGTTGTCGTTAGCATTCCCCTTCCCTTCCAGATGGCTGCATGAGCATGCAGGATGAGGAAGGCATACTTAAAATCTGTACAGATGTTGACTCTCTTTGCCAATTGAGCACTTGTATTAGGAGGAAGAGGACCTGATTTGAGGATGCCAAATTCTGTTACAACTGCAAACCCTAAATGTCTGACACCATTTCAGACAAAGGAACTGCTGTCAGTATATAATTCTAGATATTTTTATTTTTTTAAGGGCCGATCAGTTAAGTCAGGACCGGCAGCATAATTTTTCATAAGTACCCCCTCACATGAGTGTTCAGGATTTCCCTCTGCCTCTGGTAGAAGGGATGCAGGATTTAGGCTCTGGTAGGTCCTTAAAGTTATCTCTGTCCCTTCCAGCAGCTGAGCCTGGTATTTAAGTAGACAGCTGTCAGATAGCCAAAGTTCTCCTTTTGAGTTTAAAATTCCCCCTAGGTTGTGAGAGGTATAAACTATTAGGGTTATTTAGGATAAGTTTTTGAGTGTTAGCAACTAGAAGGCTAACTGCAGTGACTGCTCTAAGGCATCCTGGCCATCTCTTGGCTACCTGATCTAACTCTTTGCTTAAGTAGCCTACTGGCTGGGGAGTGATGCCCCAGAGCTGAGTCACCACTCCCAAGGGCAATCCTCCGTTTTCATAGACATACCATTGAAACTTGTACTGGGAGACCCAGGGCTGGAGCTGTCATAAGGGCCTTTTTTTAACTGGTGGAATGCATTTTCTGACTTGTTATCCCATTTAATAATGGGCTGGGGATCCTTCTATGCTTCCTTAAGGATTTGATATAAGGGCCTGGCTAGGTCTGCATATCCCAGGATCCAAATTCTACAGTATCCTCTCACCCCCCTAAAGGCCCTCTGTTGTTTTAGAGTTTTAGGTAGAGGAAACATCAGGATTGGACGGATTCTATCTTCTCCTAGAGACCTTATTTCTTTTTCCAGGATAAGACCTAAATATGTAACCCTAGACTGACACAATCGAGCTTTTTCTTTAGAGATTTTATATCCTCTGTCTGCTAGGAAGTTTACTAAGGACTCAGTGGCTCATGAAATGACAGGCTCATTTGGTCCACAGAGCAGGTCATCTACATATTGTAGCAGAGTAGCTTGTGGATATTGCCACTCTGCCAAGTCTTGGGTTAGAGCCAAAGAGGTGGGGGCTCTCTCTGAATTCCTGGGGGAGGAAAGTCCAGGTGACCTGTCTAGACTTTTGTGTGGGGTCCTCAAAGGCAAAGATAGGTTGACTTTTAGGTGTAAGGGAATGCAAAAAAAGGCATCCTTTAAGTCTAGGACAGAGTAGTAAGCAGTACCTGGGGGTATTTGGGCTAAAAGCGTATAGGGATTTGGAACTACAGGGTGGAGAGGCACTAGTGCTTCACTGATCAGGTGGAGATCCTGGACTAGCCTCCATTTGTTAGGCCCCTTCCTGACACCAAGGATAGGAGTATTATATGGGCTGCAGCATTCTATTAGCAGTCCCTGTCTAAGTCTTTGATTATGGGAATTAGCCCCTCCTTAACTTCTGGCTTTAAAGGATATTGTTTTTGATGGGGAAACCAGGAGGGGTCCTTGAGATGAATTAGAACAGGGACAGCTGTTCGTGCCTGTCCCACGGTGTATCCATCCATCCATGCTGTGGGGTCCACTTGTTCCTATATCAGGGGCAAGCAAAAGTACTATCCCAGTTTAGATAGAAGGTCTCACCCTAGCAGAGGAGTAGGGGTTTCTGGGACAATTAAAAAGGAGTGAGAGAAATGGAAATCTCCCCAGGAGCAGGCTAAAAGCTGAGTGAAATAACACTCTAGAGGCTGGCCTGATATGCCCCAAACAGTAATTTTCTTGGAGGACCTAGGTCCAGGAGAGAAAGGAATAGCTGAAATACTGGCTCCAGTATCAGTAAGGAGGCTGACCTTGTGCTTTTCGATAGTGAGTATACCTGGGGCTCCCCTGCTCTTACATGGTTATAGGAGCCTGTATGGGAGGCCCTGGTCTCGGTTCCCCTCAGGGGATCTTCCATGTTTTCCCCAACAAATGGGTCAGAGTCCCAGAGGTAGCTTTCTCCAGGGTCACTCCCTCCTAAAATGGCCTGCCTGTCCACATTGAAAGCATGTCCTTGGGTTTGGACTTTGCCCCAGTGAAGCCTCTGAGCACTGCGATTGGAGCCTCCTGCTGTTTATCTTTTCTCTTTTCCTTTTCCAGGTCCTTCTTTTCTTTTTCTAAGTTCCCATTATACTATACAGATGTGGCTACACAGACCAATTGGTCCAGATCTCTGCTCCCTTCAGCTACCAGTTTTTGAAGCTTTTTACAGATATCTGGTGCTGACTGTGTTAGAAATTTATCTTTTAGGATGATTTCCTCTTCCTGTGACTCTGGTACAATGTTGGTCTGCTTTTGTAAAGCATCCTTAAGTCTCTGTAGGAAAGCTACTGGGGTTTCTAAAGGTCCTTGCTGTACAGCCATGACTTGGGAGTAATTGAGAGGTTTTACTTTGGCTCTCCTCAGGCCCTCAAGAATGCAGTGGATGAAGTGGTTATGGCTCCATTCATCCTTGTCATTTTCAGGGTCCCACTTAGGGTCATACCTAGGCACGGCCTGATCTCCTGTTGGAATCAGGAACTGAGGTTCCCTTTTAGGTATCCAATGCTTTTGTCTTTCTTCTCCCTCCCTCTCCTCCTCCTGTGAGGGCTGGTCTGAGACAGGGCCTGCAGGCCCTACAGGCCTGATCAATTATCTAAGTGATAATTTAGACAATTATCTAAGTGATAATTGTCTCCAGCTATGATGCCTGATCTAGCACCTGCTATTTCTCCAGAGAAGTGAGGGTCTGAGATAGCAATAGCGTTACATCTTTCCAGCTCAGTTCAAAGTTTTGGCTGACTTCTCTGAATGCCTGGATGTACTACTCTGGGTTTTCTGTGTAATTTCCTACATCCTTTTTTATTTCTTTATGTTCACTCACTCTAAAAGGAACATGAGCCCTGTCCCCTCCAGGAATCAACTGGAGGGGTAGAGTCCTGAGGGACGATGTGTAGGGTGTGAGGTGGCTGGGTAAAGGGGGAGAAGGGGAGCTGATGGAGCATCAGATTTTTTTTTGGTTCTGGTTCCTCAAGGGAGTTTGGGGGCTTTTTGCGAAGGGTCACCATGGTCTGGGCATCTAGCCTGCATTTGCTCAGCCACTCTGGATGGTCTCTTAGGAAAAAGAAAAGTTGAATATATATGGGACTTCAGTCCACTTTCCCTCTTTTTTATAGAACCTGTCTAATTGAAGAGTGGTATTATAATTAATGCGCCCTCCTTCTGGCCATCTTTTCTCATCTCCCAGAGGATACAGTGGCCAGGCCTGGGCCTCAAGTAAAACTTGAGTCGCTTTTGTTAAAATTAATATTTTAGTAAGCAGGAAAGAGGGATCCTTTCTGGATCCTTGATGTTTGATTTCCCATCTAAAAAGACAAACAAGGGAAAATTGATCACCTTAACAGGGGTTTCTCCTTTTACCTAGGCATCCCTAGATGAGGAGAAACTCTATGTGGGAGAGGGCATTCCTCTCTCCCTGTGCTGTCCTGCTGCTGCGCTGCCACCTGTGGCTAAGGTTGGGAAGACATTTAGGTTTTCCAGTTGCAGCCTCCACCCTCCTGCCCCCTCCCCGCAATGCCCCTGACCAATTTCTTATCTATTTATTTTGACTTGCCTGTTTGCACTGCGACCAGGTACCTGGTTCTCCTCTACCAGTCAAGTCTTGTGATTTAAAAATAACTCTATTAAAGTAACAAGAGGACTTACCTGGCTAGAGGGAGGACCCCTGCAGAGGCATGGATGGGGACTCATGATGAGGTAGACATGTCCTCCTACATATCCTGTGAGGCATATATTTTTTATGAAAGGAGAGGGAGTGTCTGCAGGCTTTTGCTGTGGTAAGGGACAAAAAAAAATGGAGACCATGAGGTCTCTATCTCTTTAACTGTTTTTTTTTTTTCTGTTTCCTGAGGGCAGACTGTGGAACCTGTTTAACTAGTTGACCTTTGAGGTTTCTGTCCTTTTAGCTCTTTTGTTTTTTTTTCCTTCCCTAAGGGCAGACTACGACCCTGATTAACTAGTTTAACCAAATGCTTGACAAAAGCAGTTAAGCCCAAGTTAGAGACTAGCACTTTCTGGTGCCTGCAGGGATTTTTCCCAGACTCCCTGAAGAAGGAAGCCCACTGTTGTTTAGAGCAAAGTGGGGAGGGGGACGCTCATCCTGAACTACTTGGGAAAGGGGAAGGACAGGCTGAGGACTGGAGGAAAAGAGAGTTTCCAGGCTCAAGGAATGAGGGGTTATTGGTCACCACCGCTGCCTGGGTCAGTCAGGTGACCTCCACTCGCAGGTCACGGAACAGTGAAGACAGTGTAAGAGATCAGATTGTCTGTTTGCCGCAGACATGGCTGGAGGGGTCCAAGACACCTCAGGGTGGGTCAGGAAGTTGCATCTCAGCCTTCAGGTGACACCGGGGAGTGCCCCGGCCAGAGCACCCTTAGAGCTTGAAGAGAAACTTTCCTTTCCACCAGCTGTTTTCATACCTCCTCCTAAGTGGGTCAGATGTTGAAAGGGAGAGAGTTTAAGAGGGAGGGAGCCTCGGTGCACTGAAGTTTGGATTTGCCCATGTAGCACTGGCAGTCTGGTATAAGCCCCCAGCCAGCCCCCAATTCCTCAGGTTGTCTGCCTTACAGCTGAAATGGGCTTGGAGCTTTTCCTCAGGTTCCCAAGGGAGAAACCCTCCTTAACAAGAGAGGGAGAGATTGAGAGAGGTCAGCTTGAGAGGTCCATTGTAGCTAAGCTGTGGTGGTGGTGGGGTCTCTCCTGGAAAATAGACTCCATTGGAGTGTGGGACAGTCACGGCAGCCTTTTCCAGTTTCGCACAACCTGTACTGACCTCAGGTGAAGACAGGTCCCTTTGTACACCACCACATATGATGCACAGATGACACATGCAGGAATTTCAGGTGCTCAGGGTTCTTGAGCCCACTCTGAGAATGAAAGCACAGGTGGACTCCAGCAGCAGAGGTCGAAAGATTGTAGAGAAGAGAAGTGAAAGACTGCATGGTGGGGAATGCATGAGGACTTGGAAACCGGTGGTCCTGTGGGTCATGTTGGAGATTGGGTTTTTATAGTCCTTCTTTTATGTTGCCCCAGAGCAGAGATGTCTCTCAGGTGTAGACAGTTTCCTGGGAAGGAGAAGTGTCTCCTTGACCACTTATCTTTTGAGACCTTCTACAGTCTGTCCTTCACCACCTTCCTGTTTACTGTACCCCTTTTGTTCCTATAAAAGCCCTTCATGCCCTGAGCAGTCCTTAGATGGGGATTTGAGATGGAAACTGTCATTTTCAAGCCTGGCTCTGAATAAAACTGATTGCTGTCATTGATTTTTGTCTCCCCGAGTTTCTGATTAAGCAAAGAGCAGCAGGAACCTCCTTTCTGGGACCTGAGCACCCCCTTCACCCTCGGTAAGTAATCTGTAGCCCTGCCCTGTGGCCTGTGGACAATGGTGTTCCCAGAACCTCCATTCTGCAGGAGCTATGGTCATCTCATTTCACAGTTTGTGTGGCTCCCACAATGCAGAGTGCTCCAGGCTCCAGAGAAAACAGCTGTAGGAGGCACCTGAGTTCCTTGCTCTGTGAGGAGCACAGGCACAGACTGCTTCCCCTCTCCCACAGTTCTTAGAATTTATATTATGGTGTCCTGGAATGCAAATGAGGTAGGCCAAATCCCTCATTCACACTCTCAACAGCTTCTGGGGTTGGGCTGAGATATGTCTGATTGGGAGGCCTGTGGCCCTAGCTCCTGAAGCCCTCTTGCAACAGTGATGATCCAAGGACTGGTGGGACACTGTCACGCTGATGGAGTGAGGTCTGTAAGGAGTACACCTCTGAGGATTTGGTAGATGCCCAGGAAATGAAAGAGGGGGACTGGCTACCCTTTTCATTCTTGTCTTGACACATATCTTTGCTTCCCTCACTGAGCTCACAGTGGAAAACCAAAGTTTGAAGAATCATCAAAAATTTTTTTTTGTTTTTATTCTGCCAACCCTGTACACATGTATTTTAATAAATACATCTGACAGGTCTAGTTGATCTGAGAAGAATTCCTGAGCCCAGGCTAGGGCAGCAAAGTTCAAAGTTACTGCCAGAGCCAAAGTGCCAGATGTACCCAGTGAGGGGTGGGTGAAGCCTCAACAGAGGCAATGTGAAAAATAAAATGGAACAGACTCTATTACATATTGTGATGTCACTTTTAAATGTAGCTCTAACCTAGGGTCACAGTTCCATCAATGACCTGGAACCCTTACGTCAAACTCCTGGCCCCTGGAGCAGAGCTGTCCCCACCCTGTTCCACCCTGGCCTAGCCTGGGCTTTGCTCCAAGTGATAACAGTCTCCACTTGTCCTGTCTTCCTTCGGAGCTCAGAACACGTTCTTAAATGGAAATGCATTAGGGCAGGGGATGTGGCTCAGTGGTGGAGCGCTTGCATGGCATGAGTAAGGTCCGGGATTCCATCCCCACCGCAAACAGAAAGAAAAAAAGAGGAAATGGGCCCAGAAACCGGCCTGGCCAGGAACAGCTTGCAAGTCTAGAGGAAGCTAGGTGGGTTCAGTCTCTTGACATCTGCCAACCCTGTCACTCAGGGCGAAGGGGGCGGGGTCGGGAGTAACTGTCCAATCAGACGCGCCGCTGGAGGGGGCGGGAACTCGCGACGCAGCGCGCTCGGACTTCGGTGTTTATTCGGAAGAAGCTGCTGTTTCGGGTCTGACCTCGGTTCTGTCCGCCGCATCCTCTGTCTTGCTGTGACCTGTGACCCTGGGCGCCGCGAGGAGGACACGGGACACCGGCAGACGGACATGGTGAGTGTGGCCGGGCGTGGAGACGAGGAGCGGCTGTCGGAAGCGGCCATGGCGGCACCGGGCCTAGCTCGGTCCCGGTCCCCTGCGGGCCGCGGGGTGGGGCTGGGCCGGCAGCCGGGATCCCGGCGTCCTGTCCCGGGCCTGCGGGGGGTCGCGGGAGACGCCGCCCCGTGGAGTCGGGCGGGGGCCTCTTGGCTCTCCCTTGTCCCCAAGGGGTCCCCGTTTCCTCCTGATTTTTCCAAATGTATGAGAGGTTTCATTATCGACCCACTCTGGCCAAGCTCTTCCTGGGGCTGGCAGTGTCTCTGGATTTCCGGTGTCTTTTTACATTCCCAAGCGTCAGCTTCCCCCCTGCAGCTCACTGCACCAAGATCAAATATCTGTCCTTCCTGCATTTTAAACACACGCAGCATTTTAACTGTAGTTTTTCAAGGGGCATGGATGGCTGTATTAAAAGGTCGAGGTTTTGGTTTGTTGCATTTGACACGAGAGGAAGGCAGGTGGGAACTGTCTTTTCTCAAGTGCGTGGCCTCTCCTGCCAGTATCTTTCCTGACCTCCTAGGGAACCCTTTGGATTGAGGTTCCTCTTTGCAGACTTTTCCTGGTGATCTGTCCTTTAAGCACCAGTTCCAAGTCATCACTGCCCCTTCCTGCGTGTGTCATTTTGAAAGGATTAATTCATTTATTTAAAGTCTCGGTTTTTCAGTAAATGTAAGCAGTATTTAATCAATTTAATCAATAGCGGGTGAAAGACAATACAACATATTTCCACAGAGCCAAGAAAGACGTGAATTTCATTAAAAAATGCAATCAAATAGTAGCGCTTTACATTCGTATTTGTTTATTTATTTACTTTGTGGTACTGGGGTATTGAACCCAGGACCTTGAGCTTACAAGCTCTCTACCTTTTCCACTTGAGCTATGCCTCCAGCCCTTTTGTTTTTTATTTTTTATATAGGGTCTTGCTAACTTTGCCCCAACTGGCCTCCAATTTGAGAGCCTCCTGCGTGAGTCTCTCAAGTAGCTGGGATTGCAAACGTATACCACTATGCCTGGCTTCCACTCCTCTTTTCCCAGTCATCTCAGCCTGCAGAAGGACCAGTTGGGTCCTGCTGGGGAGCTTCCCTGCAGGTGTTTTGCCTGCTCACATTCACCCTGGAAGGAATCCTTTGTACTGACCACAGGTGCAGAGGCCTGCAAAACTGAGGCTTTAGGATGGGGGACAGAGAATGATCCTTGGAGCTTTGTGTAGACAGAAGTCTGTGTTTTGTATTACAGAAGCCTGTAAACCTGGAGTAATAATTGTGCTTATAGGGAGAATCTGTGAAGTCAGGATTCTATGTCCTGGAAAAATGTTGATAAATTTGGGAATTCATTTGGCTCACCCCAACTCAATCCAGCTATTTCTTTACTTGTGAAAACTGAGGTCCAGGGGGGCATCTGGGGAGAAGGGGTCCCTTTCTGAGGCTGCTCCAGTGTCCTGTCCTCCATCTTCAGGGACTGACACATGCTAGGAGTTATAGTTCAATGGTGAGCACCTGGACACACCAGGTCTAGGACTGTGTTTAACCTTCAGAATTTGGCTTTTCTTTGGGAACTGGGGGAAACAGTTTGATCTGAGCAGATTGAAATGTTTCCATTTGTATTTTTTAATTTTTTCATTGAATGCTGCTTTCTTTTAATCTAATCTAATTTCTCTAGATACTTTGTAACTTTTTTGGTGGAACTGGGGTTTAAACTCAGGGCTTCAAACTTGCAAAGCAGATACTCTTACCACTTGAGCCACACCTCCAGTCCATTTTGCTCTGGTTAGTTTAGAGATGGAGTTTCAAGAACTGTTTGCCCAGATTTGGGCTCCAACCTCAATCCTTTCCATCTCAGCCTCCCAAGTAGGTAGGATTAGAGGTGTGAGCCACTGGTGCATGGCTGACACTTTGTAACATTATTCCCTTTGTGTAAGTTTTAGTTTCTTGGTTGAATTTGTAAATTACTTGAGAGACAGGACAGAAGTCAAGAGAAACTCAGTATACAGGATGGGTGTATTAAAGTTCTCAGGTTGTGTGTGTGTGTGTGTTATCTAGGACCTGCGATTTCTATGCAAGTGTTTTATCCCTTGAACCATACCCCTAGTCCTTTTGTTTTTCGTTTCTGAGATATATGATCTTTCTAACTGCCTGGGCCAGGCCTTCAACTTGTGATCCTCCTGCCTCTGCCTCCCAAGCAGCTGGGATTACTGGTGTGTACTATCATGCTTAACCACCATTAAAGATCAGTTTTTGTGCCTGTTCCCTGGGAATTTCAAAATTAAAGTCTGCACTGTATCCATGTATTTGAATTTCTGATTTTTGTTATTTATTTTTGACAGGTTTGTGCTTGCTAGGTAGGCCCCTCTACCACTTGAGTCACACTTCCAGCCCTGTTTTATTTTTTTGAGACAGGTCTCTGGCCTCAAATTCAAAATCTTCCTTAGTGCTTCAGCCTCCTGAGTGCTGGGATCATAGGTGTGTGCCTTCACTCCAGGCTTAGGCCAGGCTCATTTCCTTGCTCTCTCAAGCGATTTCACTCTGCGTTCCCAAGATCTGAACCTCTAAATTGCAATGATATACTGCAGTATTGCTGTGTGTTGCGTTGTTTTTTCCTCCTGATTGTTTTTGCAGTGCTGGGGATTAAATTTGGGACTTCATGCATGCTATCTAAAGGCTCTACCACTGAGATGCACTCTTAGCTCTTGTGTTGCATTGTTGAGCCCACCCAAGCCTGATTGACTTGGCAGGTTTTTTTTTTTTTTTCTTCTTCTTTGTGTATATGTGTGTTTGAGGCAGGGACTCTATATATTTCAGGTTAGCCTGAAACTCCCTTCTCCTGCCTCCACTTCTCAAATGCTGGGATGACAGGAGCGAGCCACTACATTCAGTTCCAAATACTGGTATCTTCTCAAAACTGTTAGCTCTGCTGGCCATCATGGTATACCTTTGTAATCCCAGCACCTGGGAGATGGAGTCAGGAGGCTCAAGAGTTTGAGGTCTGCCTAGCATGATTCTTGTCTTTCTCCAAGGTAGGTTCTGAATTAATATCTGTGGTAATGTGCTAATTGACAATCCTTTATGCAATTAATTAATATAGGGCTCAAATTAGAGTTATATCTGGGCATCCCACTAAGTTAAAGGAAGGCATGCCCTACAATCTTGGGGTGGAGGTGATGGATATAAAAAAGAGAAGAAACATACTCTTCCCCTAAAACCATCAGGACCGTTACCTTGCCTGAATTTCCTACAGTTATAACAGCTCTTCCTAAAATATCCTACAGTGAGCAGAGAAGCCCGGAAACAATAAGAAATAAACACAATAAAACTAGATCTTTTAGTGGGACTAAGTGGTTCATGCCTGTAACCAGGAGGCAGCGATCTGGAGCATCAAGACCAGTCTGGGGAAACAGCAAAAAATCCCATCTCAATCAGTAAAAAGCAGGACACAGTCACCGCAGCTACTTGGGAATCATAAATAGAAGGATTGACAAGCTGTATTCGAAAAATGAAAACAAAAAGGGTTGCGGGTGTTGCCCAGTTGGTAGAGGGCTGCCTGGCAAGTGCAAGGCCCTGAGTTTTCAAACCCTTGTACCGCCAAAATAAGATAAAAAAAAAACGAGACTTACAAAGAAGCTTGATAAAATCAGATCTCACAGACCTTTATCCACCAGTGAGATTAACGAGTGTGGCCCAATGTGAATTTCACATTGCTTTGAAGGATTGAATCGTATTATTCTAAACCTGTTTAGTGAGGGGGTAATTACCCTCTGCAGTTCTCTTTATAGCAGCCCAGTTTGGCTGGGTGGAATGAGCTGGGTGTGGTGGCTCATGCCCGTCATCCTAGCTACTCAGGAGGCTGAGATCAGGAGGATCACAGTTCAAAGCCAGCCTCAGGCAAATAGCTCAAGAGACCCTATCTCAAAAATACCCATCACAAAAACAGGACTGGCCGAGTGGCTCAAGTGGTAGAGCACCTGCCTAGCAAGGGTGAGGCCCGAGTTCAAACCTCAGTGCTGAAAAAAACAAAAAAAACCCCAAAACTTTCAGTAACAGGATTAGTGGAATTCCAGTAAGAAAGGTTTGTCTTCATTGGGGTCTTCACCTCAGTCATTTCACACATGCTAATGTCTGAAACTTGTGTCATTCAGTTTACTCATTCATTGCAGTAGTTACGGAGTTCAGCCTTTTTCAAATGCTTCATCTTATTTTTGCTTTTGTGAAAAATACTATTTTGTATTAGTCTCCAGGTTCAAAGTGCAAATGTACAATAAAGTCTCAGGACATTAGTGAAAGAAACATCACTGGATTGTAGATGGTATTAAAGGCCACATTTTCAGGAAAAAATAGCAGGGGATGTGCCAAACAACCCTCCCTCCATTTGTGCACAACTATCCATTTGTTCCTGATGTGATCGTACTTGGCCTGTCTCACTGACCAAGTGTTGTTCTTCTGATCAGTGTGAACTGGGATCTATTTGACTTATTTTTGGCTGCCCTGTTTGCCAAAGAGATGGCCCTTTTGGCATATATGATCTTTCTCCTTCTATTAGATGTTTAGGTAATTGCCTCTCCCCCTTTTTTGGGGTTCGAACTCATGGCTTTGCAATTGCAAAGCAGGTGCTCTGCCACTTGAGCCAAACCTCCAGTCCATTTTGTTGTGGTCATTTTGGAGATGTGGTCTTCCGAACTGTTTGCCCAGGCTGGCCTTGAATTGTGATCCTCCCAACCTTACCCTCCCAAGTAGCCAAGATTACAGTGTGAGATACTGGTGCCTGGCAATTTTCCCTCTTATTTTTTGGGTAGTACTGGGATTTGAATTCAGGGCCTTGAGCTTACGAGGCATGTGGTCTACCACATGAACTCCTAGCTTAATTTTCCCCTTTTAAAATCACATATTCATTAGTTTTTACTTTGGACATTAATCCCTTTATATTGCTTGTATTACAGGTATTTTTCTTCCACATTGTTGTATGTTTGGATCTGTCAGTCTTATGGTTTACTTGTTTTCTCTTTTTTTTTTTTTTGGCAGTGCGGGGTTCTAACCCAGGGTCTTGCATGTATTTTCTAGATGAGCACTTTATCACTGAGCTACACCCCAGCCCTACTCTTTCTTTTCTTCTTTCTTTCTTGGCTCTACCGGGATTTGAACTCAGAGTCTTGCCATTTCTAGTCAGGTGCTCTGCTACTCGAGCCACACCCCAGCTCTTTTAAGCAAGAAACTGAAGCAACAGTTATCTTTTTTTTTTTTTTTCCTTTTGTGGTACTGGGTTTTGAACTTGACTTCAATGCAAGCACTTGAGCCACAACTCCTGCCCTGCTTCAGTTATTTTTCAAGTAGGGTCTCAAATTTTTCCCTGGGGCCAGCCTTAGTCTGTGATCCTTCTGTCTATGCCTCTCAGTTGCTGGGACTGCAGGCATACTCTACAAAGCCTGGCTTATGAGATGGGGGTCTCCTTAACTTTTTGTCTGGGCTGCCTCAAACTATAATACTCCCAATCTTCTGCTCCTGAGTTGTTGAAATTATAGGCATGTGCAACTGCACCTGGCTGTACTTCTTTTTCATGTATGAGATAATTCTCTTTTGCATCACAGAAACATTGGTCTTGACAAATTGTTGTCTGTGACAAAAGGACTAAATGTGTGGAAACCACAGTTTTATGAGCTGAATGTGCTACATGAATATGTTATGATCCTCTGTGCTACATGTTTCTCTCTCTCTTCCTATAAACGTATCTGGGATGTTTCAGGACTCAGTGACCTTTGAGGATGTGGTCGTGAACTTCACCTTGGAGGAGTGGGATCTGCTGGATCTATCCCAGAAGAATCTCTACAGAGATGTTGTGGGGGAAATCTTTATGAACTTGGCCTCTATAGGTAAGGGTGACAGCCTTTCTTTACTTAATTAGTCATGTGGCTTTTGCCCACGGATGCTGTTCCATGATTAGAAATGTGGACAGGAATACTTTGATAAATACAGTGAGCATGGTTACAGCCTATCAGTAACCTAGACTTTGATCTGATGTCTCTAAATTTAACAACTCATAAGTTTTTTTCTGCTTTATATTGTAGGGGAAAAATGGGACCAGAACATCAAAGATTGGTACAGAAATCAGGGGAGAAATTTAAGGTAATTTGCACTGAAAGAGAAAAAGGGAATGTCCCACAAAGAATTTTAGCTTGGGGTTAGGTGTGGTAGCTCATGCCTGTGGTCCTAGCTATCCAAGAGGCAGGAATCTGCAGGATCACAGTTTGAGGTCAGCTCAGGCAAAATGTGAGCAGAGCCCCATCTCAGTCAATAAGCCAGATGTGGTGATGCTTACATATCATTGCAAGCTTTGCATGAGGTATAGGTAGGAGGATTGTGTTCTGAGGCTGGCCCTGGCAAAAATTCAAAACTACAGCCAAAAATGGGATGGGGGCTAGGGTCAAGTGGTACAACATCTGCCTAGCAAGTGGCCCTAAGTGCAAACTGCAGTACCACCAAAAAGAATTTTAGTTTTTGGGTTTTTTTGCATTGTTTTGAGGCAGGATCTGTCTATAGTAGGCCACACTAGCCTTAAACTCCTGATCCTCCTGCCTCAGTCTTTCAAGTGCTGGGATTACAGATGTGAGCTGTCATGCCCAGCTTGTCATGGAAGATTTTTAAATAAGTGAGTTCACGTCCAAATTTATTTACTCATAAAACTTTCCTCAAAACCTTTTTTTTTTTTCATCCTTTGGTAGTACTGGGAGTTAAACTCTGGGCTTCACACTTGCTAGGCAGGCGCTCTACCAGCCCAAAAATATCTATTTAAATGTGACATGGATGTTCACACTGTTTGCAAAATGGGAAACATTAGAGCCTGCAAGTGTGAATATCACTGCTTTATTTAATAGATACACTTAAGCCCTCTTGCAGAGAATTCAGTCTTTTGACTTTTAAACAGCTGAGACAGGGCAAAAAAACCTATGGTTTTCTTGATAACAGTAAAAATGTAAGTTTACTCACATAGTATATGCTCAGTTAAATTGTGTTCCATGCCTGTAAGTAAATATGAAGCTATTAGTAACCAACTATTCATAACATGCTCTGATTTTTTTTTTTTAAACAGCAACCATATTGCAGAGGGACTCTGTGAAATTGAAGAAGGTCATCAGTGTGAACAAACCTTCACCCAGGTTCTTGATCATGATCTGAACAAGAGAGGTCCTGCTGGAGTAAACCCGTGTGCATGTAGCGTGTGTGGAATGGTCTTCATGCCTGAGCCTTCCTTCAGTAGTCCTCTCAGCTCTCACACGGGACATCAGGAATATGAAGGGAAGTCACATAAATGCACACGGTGCAAGAAAACCTTAAGTTATTACTATTCTTTCCAAATGATTGACAGGCGTCACCCTGGAGAGAAACCCACTGAATCTCAGGAGCATAAGGAGGCCTTCCTTTCTCTCCCCAGCCTTGGAGGATTTGTGGTGGCGCACACTGGTGGCGGGCCTCATAAGTGTAATGTGTGTGGAAAGGGCTTGCAGTACCCCAGTTCACTTAGAATCCATGAGAGGACCCACACTGGAGAGAAGCCGTATCAGTGTGAGCAGTGTGGCAAGGCCTTCAGTTGTTTGGGCTCAGTTCGAAGGCATCAGAGGACGCACACTGGTGAGAAGCCCTATGAGTGTAAGGAGTGTGGGAAAGTGTTCAGCTCGCTCTCGGGTCTTCAAGGACACACGATAAGGCACACCGGAGGCGGCCCTTACAAATGTAAGGAATGTGGGAAAGTCTTCAACTCTCCCAGTGCGCTCAGAAAACATGAAAGAACTCACACTGGAGAGAAACCTTTCTCATGTAAATATTGTGGCAAAGCCTTCATTTGTTCAACTTCAGTTCGGAAACACGAAAGGACGCACACTGGAGAGAAGCCCTATGAATGCAAGCGGTGTGGGAAAGCCTTCATCTCCCACTCGGGCCTTCAAGGACACATGATAAGGCACACTGGAGAGGGACCTTACAAATGTAAATTTTGCGGGAAGGCCTTTGGCTCTCCCAGTGCCGTTCTAAGGCACGAAAGCGCTCATGTTGTGTAGAATTCCTGAGACTAAAGAGTGGGAGAGCCTTCATTTCTCTTTCAGGCATGTGAGGTCACATGATCATGGCACACTGGAGACTGACCCCATAAACGTAAGGTATCTGAGAAAACGTTTCACTATGCTAGTTCAAGAACAGAAAAGAGGGCTGTAGTTGTGGTTCATGTGGGAGACTGCCTGCCTAGAAAGCTAAGGCCCTGAGTTCAAATGCCTTAGCTTTTAAACATACCAAGAACAGAAAATAACATACCAAGAACAGAAAATAACTCATACTGGAAAGAAACTATATGAATGTAAGGAATGTGGAAAAGCCTTCAAAATTTATTTGGAATGCATTAAAGGGCTCACAATGGAGAACCCTATAAATAAAAAATAAATTGAAACCTTCAGTTTTCCTAGCTCCTTTTGAAAATGTGAAAGAACTCATTGACAAACTACCTTATGAAGTTAAAAAAGAAGTACGATAAAGCCTCTAGTCCACTTACTTTCCTGTACATGTAAGAGCTCACACTGATCCGGGTGTGGTGATGCACCCCTGTAATTCCAGCACTTGGTTAGTGGAAGCAGGAGGATCTTGAGTTTGAGACCAGCCTGGGCTTCTTATACGCTGTCTCAAAACAAAACAAAAAAAGAAACAAAGAAAAATGGTAACCTCATGAATATAAGGAATTTGGGACAACATTCAGATTTCTTATTTCTCTTTACATTTGTGAAAGAACTCTTACTAAAGAGAGAGCCTGAGTAAGAAATGTAGAGAAAACTTTCTTTTATCACACAAATTTTCGAGCACATAAGCAAATGCACAATGGCGAGATAACTTCTGAATGTCAATCTATAGGAATCTCCATCCATTTCATTTTTTGGTGAGATGGGTTTGAGCTCATGGCTTCATGCTTGCAAAACAGGTGCTCTATCCCTTGAGCCATGCCTCCAGTCCAATTTGCTCTGGTAATTTTGGAGAAGGGTCTTGCAAACTATTTGCCCAGGCTGGCCTCAAACTGTGATCCTCCTGATCTCAGCCTCCCAAGTAGCTAGGATTATAGGTGTACCAGCACCAGGTACATCCTTCAATTTCAATTTAAAAGCATCAGTGTTGTGAAAAAGCCTCCACTTACCTCACATTCTCTCTACCTTGGTACTTACAAATGTTTTTCTACAAATTTATAAGAGCATCAAATCAATTTTAGGGGTCTTTCCAGTTGGGGCCACTGAGATTTCTTTTTTGGTGGTACTAGTGAGGCACACTGGCAAGAGGGAAAGTAACCAGCTGTGGGACTCCATCCTCTTCAGCAAAAGCTCATTCCATGCCGAATTCTTTCTACCTGCCCAGTACCACCCTCAGGCATCCCCTCAGTTGTAAATTTCTTTTCAGTGATAAATTCCTTTGCAGACCCAAGTGCCCCAAAGACAAGGGAGCTTCCTGGTGGTTCAGACTGGAAAATGGCACACACTTAGTAAAGTGCAATGTGTTCTCAGTTTGACCGCTCAGGTAAAGTCCTCTACTTTACCTTATGAATATTCGTCACATATACGTAAAATTAAAGACCTTGTCGATCAAATCTGTCAATCACATTAGCCTCTTCTGCAAAGACCACTCAGATTTTTTCCCTGCCATTTGCCTTTACAACTTACAGATTATCCTTTGAACAAAGATCCATGCTTCCATGCCACCTGGCCAGGGCCCACTGTTTTTTTTTTTTTTTTTTGCAGTGCCTATTTTTTCCTTTTCTCTTCAATAAAACTATACTTTGGCTTTGCAATCTGTGTCTGCCCAGCTGATTTTTGGGAGACCTAAGAGCCTGAGATCTTCTGGACCAGGGTCTTCTGAAGACCACCCATCCAGTAACACTCGGTTTGAACCCAGGGCTTCAAGCTTGCTAGGCAGGTGCCCTACCACCTAAGCCACACTCTTTAGCCTGGCAAATGGGCTTTATAGCATTTTAGAATCTCTGGGTAAGTCAGGTTTGAGCTGACCCCTTTCCTCTGCCACCAGGTTGCCATAGGTGGTGTGCCTGTAGGCTCTGAGATCAGGATCTCTGTGATAGAGGCCTGTGTGGCAGCAGCACTTCATCCTGGTGTGACCCTCAGCTATTAGGCCTGTGGACTGAGTCTGCTTGTAATGGCTAACTTCTACTTGTGCTCATCTCTTTGTTCTTTTTAAGTGACTGCTCTTTCAGAGGCAACACTACCTGTGAGTCACCTTTTACATAGGGAACATTCACCTCCATGTCCTGTGTATAAGGCCAACCCAGCATCAGTCACAACTTCAAACTAAACACACATTTAAGACCCAGTCAAGACATCCCTTTGGGACCACTTCAAGGAGGGCTGTGATCCCACACTCCTGCTTACAAACACCCCGTAACTATCCCAACTGCCTACTTGGGTTGGCTGAATCTATTAAAGGTGCTTAAACTACTGCTGAAAAGCTCTGACTCCTTACTTTGGTCCATGATTAACTAAACACAGGAGAAAAGCTTGGCATCTCTGCCTCCATTTTGTATATATTGTCCTTTCTAATCAAGGAAGGACAGGAATGATTAATAACATCTCTATAATAAGGGACCGAAACTTCCCCTAAGGAATAGCTGAGGCTTGCAGGACAGACCACCTCTCCAAATGAAGACAGTTACTTACAATGATAAGGCTGTACCCTGGAGCAGGAGTAATCATCTCACTGGAGCCAGATTACTCCCCTCCAGTGATGACAGCAATAACATCTCCAGAACCCTTCTTGGAATCCTTGGACTGACATGATCAACCGGAACACACCTGTGATTGGGACTGTTTTAACTATGCATACCTTGTCCCCTGCCCCTGGTTCTTTTGTCTATTTAAATCTCTAACTCATATCTTACCCCAAAGATGGCTGAAGATGAGCTAAGTACTTACCCTGCCTCTTCCCACAGCATGTCCTGAGCGATGTAACATAAATCTCCTTTCACTGCCTTCACCATGCCTCTTTATTTGGTGTACATGGCTGGACCTGGCACATGAAATCCCAGGAGTTTGGGCTTTGGGTCCAAAACCCCACTTTCAAATCTAGAACCCAGCTTGGGAGGGCTCATCATGCAATAGAGAGCGGCAGTGGTCAAAGAAGCAATTCTAGCAGAGGTCAGAGTGCATGCTGGAGCTAGGAGAGGTGGTGCATGACTGTAAGCACAGCCCCCAGAGGCTGAGGCAGGGGGACCATGAGTTCAAGGACAGTCTGGGCCACACAGAGATAACCCTGTCTCAAAATGCATCACAGAGTGCATGCTGGTCATCAGGTCAGAGTGAGAGAGGACCCAGGGAGTGTGGTTAATGCCTGGACACCCTGTATCAACTGTTAAGGTCACCTGAGGTGGTACTGCCCTTGACGGTGATGGCTGTGATATGCAGCACACATGCTGAGTGGGCATGAAGAAGCTGCTGCCTCATACGACAGATCTGTGAGGATAGCAAAGCAGACCTCTCTCAAGCAGGTGAGGGTCTTTAGGCATGCCAAAGTGGGCAAAAGAAAGTGTGAGTCTTAACTACTCATTACAAGAACAAACATGAGGAAGACAAAATGTGCCAGGTGTGAGGTGCACTCCTGTAATCCTAGTACTTGGGAGGCAGGATGGATAGATGAGAAAGGGAAATGATATTTTAATAAATATTAAAAGTGTCAAACTCAAACACTGGAACAAGGAAATAAAAACTGAAAAGCCAGAACAGCAAGTCCTCTTACTGAAAAAAAAAAAAAAAAAAAAAAAAAAAGACATGGAGTGATAGACTGAGACAGCTCAAAATCAGCACAGGTTTTATTTGGGAAAGAAAACCTGTGGGGGTGGGGTGAGGGTTGGGAAGAGGAGTGTCTCTCCTGCAGAAGCTAGAGGTAATGGCTGCTGAAGGCAGATGTTTGTTATTCTTTGGGGCCAGGTGAGGTTTTTTTCCAGTAAGCCATCTGTTGGTGAAATGGCATTTGGTTCTAACAAAGCTGACCTGGATTTTACCCTAACATTTCTGTCTTTTGATATATATTTTTTGGAAAAGGAATGATGTTAGTTTGTTAACTGTTTCTTGCTGGTTGAGGCACTGAGGTCTCTTAAAAGGACCTCTGGTCTTCTTGTTTGACAGCTGTATTAGGTCCATGAAGGAACATGACTGAGTTGACCTGTTTTGGGTGGTGTCCTGGACAAAAGCATGGTACCTCTGGGAAACAAAGTGAGAAAGTGATTTAAAAGATGCAAGGTACAATGGCCAGCAAAATAAAGAAAAAAAATAACAGTTCCCAGTACAGGGACCATCAATGCCATCCACTTAGCCCAGGTAGGTCACTGTCCTCAGTTGTCTGTTGCTCATTGCTGGAGTTTGGAGGCGATTTCCAGGAGTCTTTTAACACCATTGAGAACAGCCCAGGACTGGTTGACATGAAAACAGTGTTCTTCCTGTAAGAGACACATTTCCCCCCTTTTAGCAATTAGGAGGTCAAGAGTTTGATGGTTTGGAGGACCACCTCTGCTAAGGAATCAATTTGATTTTGGAGGGTGGTGAGGGACTGGGCCAGATCTTCTAAGGTACCAGAGAGAGTCCTTGATGTTGAAAGCATAGCGAGGAAGTTATTTCTACTGTCCCGGTTCCCAGGGAGGCCAAGAGCCCCAGGTCACCAAGAAGTGGAAAGAGTTGTATGAGTCTTTGGGCTTGGGTTTCCCTGGTTATGGGAAGTTTCAGTCTCATAAGGTGTTATCGAGCTTTCTTGTCCTTCCTTGACTCCAAGATGGCTGCAGGAGAAAGTGGCTCAGAGCAAAGGACATTAGGTACAAAATGGAGACAGAGATGCCAAGTTGTTTTTGTGTCTAGTTAATTTATGGGCCCAATATTTGAGCACCTCTTACAATTTCCCCCTTAGGTTTGAATATTCCTCAATCTTGAGAGAATTAGGGTGTAAACCAGTGATAAATTAGTACAGGAGAAGGGGATAGATAGCTGACAGTAAAGTCAAAAGTACTTGTTGATAATTCTAAAACTATAAACACCATTATAAAGTAATCATTTTTGTCTCTACTTAAATAGAAGGACTTGGCTGAAAATATGAGTTTGCTTTCTTTCAAAGGTCTTGGATGTCTAGTAACCTCTTGACTTTAGTAATTTTGTGAGGTCTGGCACAGATGACTCCATCTGGATTTTAACAGTTTCCCCCTTGTCTCCAAATTATCTGTTTCTGAACAGTTTTCACTGAAGGTTTCACCAATTAACCATTTTGGTTAATGAAAGTGCCTGGTTACCAGGATAAGCTTTTTCCCACATGGTCTGATTTGATCCCATGTCTGAGGGGCCACAACAGGCAGGCTATGTGGGAGTCAGTGCTAATTTAGTCAAATGGACCACAACCAAGCCCTGGACATAGTTTGTGGGACCCTATTTCAAAAATATCCAACACAAAATATTGCTGGTGGAGTGGCTCAAGTGGTAGAGTGCCTGCCTAGCAAGCATAAGGCCCGGAGTTCAAACTTAAGCACTGCTAAAAAAAAAAAAAACAAGGTTAAGAACATGCAAAAATTAAGTGGCTGTAAGATGTTAGTTATTTCTCAAAAGTTTTCTTTGTGATGTGTTTTTTTCAAGATGGTGTCTTTCAATCTATTTGCCCAGGCTGGTTTCAAACTGTGATCCTCCTCATCTCTGCCTCCCAGGTAGGTAGGATTACAGGCATGAGCTACCAATGCCTAGCTAGGAAAATGTTTTATATAAGACTGTTTCCATAGCCATCAGAGTTTTAGCCTCTGACAAACCAATCATCATAGGTACAGACTGATGGACATACACAAAATACACACAATGACGTACAAAAACATGTT